GGGGAGATTTTCTAAGCAGCAATATATATATTTTTTGTACATCTATAGAAGTAATATTCTTTTTTCTCACTTGATGAAAAAACTTTTTCATCTCTTTTTTTTCACATTATTGCACGTTGGAACAGCACTATAGTATCAATAGTATCAATTTATATATAGCCTTAGAATGTTATTTATTATATAAAGGTATAGTGCTTTATAGAGATTTCGAGCACTGATAAAAGTGATAATCTCACATGTGAGATTATTCATGATAATCTCACATGTGAAAATTATCGCTATTCATTTATCGCTTTTCTGGAACAATTATCGCTTTTCAAAGACTGTCATCGGCATGTTGCTGAATATTTCAAAAGTATCAACAATTAATAGTGTTTCCAAGGCCTCTCTGAAAATCGGAAGCAAGTCATTAAAATAATATAATTATATGTTCTATTTCATTTCAAAAAGCAAACAAATGTTTCCTCTTTTGTTAAGATAGCACTACCCTGGATTCCAGAGAATTCGACAGTAAATAATAAATTGAAACATTGCGAAGGCTCTGGTTCAACGGGAAGATTCTTTGATTAAACCATGCCAATCACAAAACAGAATTAGTGCTTTTAGTACAGAATCTGTACTAATTACTAAAACCACTAATTCTGTTTTGTGATTGGCGCAGTTTAATCAAAGAATCTTCCCGTTGAACCAGAGCCTTCGCAACGTTTCAATTTATCATTTATTGTCAAAGGCTCTGGAATCCAGGGTATGATAGCACACATGCTTTCAATATTTTTCGACAAACCGACTGCTTATTTTGGGCATGGTATAGCGTCGCAGTGTAACTTTTCAGGATTTTCATAAATCAGCGAGATCTCGCTTATAAACTTGTCGAAATGTTTTCTCGCTAACCTGTTACAAAATCTTTAATTAAGAACTACCAACCTCCAAAATTAATGGCTACCGTAAGGTTAGAATATCTGCAGTCCTCATCTGGTATCTATAAAAAACTAGAGCTACATTTTCTGCAAAAACAAAGCAATTATTTTAAGTAATGTTTAAATATTTGTCTGTCTTTATTTTCAAGATTTCATCTCTCATCCCACTTTTCAAACATTTCTACATAATTTCTAGTCAACTTAAGATAATAATTTGGTTCATTAGGTGAATAATCATTGTACTTAAACCCATTTATCGATTTTGGAACAGCTTGTTCAATTTGCGTTCCCTCATGCCACTCGTTAAAAGATGTCACAGAAATTAAAGGTGGTTGAACAGACAATGCAGCTTGGAAACTCTTTTTATAATACTCTCCATTCTCCCTTGATCTAGTATTAGCATAATTCCAAGGACGGATGTTTGTATCAATGTAACCTGGTCCTACGCTTGGAATAAAAATTGTATTTGTTTGAATTGCAAAGGACTTGAGTCTTGACCAAGCATTCCACCTTGAACCATATGTAAAACCATTGACGGCAAAGTATGTAAAGAAACCATCAAATCCACCTATGTCGATATAATCCTTATGCGTAAACTCGACCATTAAAGCAATCATAACACAATCATAGGGTGTATTTCTTATAGTGTATTTTCCATCAGGTTTTAGTAAATTTGCCCAATCATGGGGCTTTGTATGATAGGAGTCATAAACATACAACAAAGGTAAGTAACGATTGTCTTTTGTTTTGTATTTATAAAATGCTGAGTGTTTGCCATACCTCTTATGAATGTATATAGCATCATCACGAACCGTCCGTTCGTTGCGGTTTTTGTAAGGCTCAATGTGCAAGGTAACTTTCAGTCCAAATTCAGCAGCTATATCAAGAAGCTTTGGTACAAGTCTATCAACGGGTATCCCTTGTTGATCAGCTGTACCCTCAGGATACCAAGATACCACAACCACCCCAGCCCCAGATGTCATGATTTGTCGCATATGTTCCCTAATTGTCCCATCATCCGAGGAACTATAACACCCCAGCTCTGGGTAGAAATCTGATCCTATGTCATCCGGGGGGACATGAAGCCCTTTTTTATACTGTGCCGCAATTTCCTTATTCCAGTGGGGTAGGTACTCGTGATTCCAGTGAATATACTTGCCATCAGTGGTTGGATTGCCATACCATGGGTAATAAAATATATGAACATTATATGAAACTTTAAGTAATAAATTCTTAACGTTATTTTCAGTCGACATCTTTTGATGCTTGGTCAAAATCTTGTTCCCAAAATTTGGCTTAAATATCTTTTCTTTCAAAATATTTTTTCTCTGAGCAAAAACAGTATTAAAATCTGTAGTGTTTTTGTGTATAGCTAATCTGCTATAAAAGGACCCACCAGACCAAGGTTTAGATATATTTTGTAGCTTTATATTTGGCCACGTGTGACTATTCCACTGCATAGAACGCCAGTAAAAATATCCGGCAATCGTGAAAATTAAAAAAAGTAAGAATACTCGCCATTGTTTCTTTCTTGTGCTTACAAAATAACGCAACACTTTCATTTCAAAAACTGTTTCTTTCGAATTCTGCTTTTGAGTTTTGAAAATTGAATTTGGACGACAAAAATATCTAGCAAAATATTTCACGACTTTTGTAGCCCGATATGTTCCGATCGTATCCCGATTGGAGTACGACAGAGAGCTATATATTTACTGGAGTACTTGTTGTAGATTTCATTGCATAAAAAGCCTGGGAACGAGGTTGCTTGACAGCATGCTTTTATATTAGACACTGTCTAACCCTGATTGGAATTGAATGGCCAGGGGCAGTTGTGCAAAGGCTGGATAATGCTGTCGACCAGATAGTGATTTTTTTCTAACTTTATAAAATAGTCTGTTGATATAAAGTGTAACCCAGTCGGAATAGCAGTATTTATAAAATAAGGTCTCCAATGGACAGCATTATCCGACCTTCATATACCTCCCCCCCCTTCTGTCATCCACCCTTTTATTACTATTTTTCAAAATTGAAATTTCCTTTCCCACAAACAAAATTATGTTTATTAGTGGTCACACCTACAACTAAATATCTTAATGGTCATTCCAGAAAACATCCATTCCTCACCCACAGAGGAAATCGGAAGGAACCCCCTACCCACTTCAGATGTCCTCGTACACTTACTATTATCAGATGCAAATTCCCCACCACCACCACCCCCACTTGCATGGCAGAAATTTCCTCTGTGGTTTACAGGGTGGATCTTTTCTGGAACAACCTAATGGTACTGGTCAACACTATCAAAGTTTTTTGGTCAATAATTTGATCACAGTGTACAACAGAGTGAAGCTTTTCGAAGTGTCTAGCTAGGCAGTACCATTTGCCCACAACTTGGAAGTAACAAACTATGTTATTAAGTGTTTTATAATTAAATATTTTAGAATGAAAATTTAAGCACTTTGCCATAAAGGGGCGCCGGTTGTATAAAACTCTTAATCCCTTTTTTAATTAATTAATCACTATTTTGTAGTTAAATAGTGATTAACTCTCAAATAGGCGCTTCTTATTGGATGACGTTTCCACTTCATCATAGTTAACTTTGATCACTTTTTTATACAACTGGCCCCTGGTATACATAAATGACAGGATCATTCCTGCCATTTATATATACCAGCATGTTACTTGATGCATGCCCCCATAAAGACATGACCATGCACTTAAATTTTCATTCTAAAATATTTAACCAGACTTAGCATACACTAGCATCTAACAAAAACAAGATTTGGGGCATCTTGCTCAATTGAACAAATCGTTGATGGGTTTTGGGCAGATAGAATTTTGAACGAAAGATTTCAATACAATTTTCAGACCTAACCATCATGAGTTTAGCAACTGTTCCTGGTTACCATGGGCAGATTTACTGGGGGTTAAACCCCTCCTAGAATCTCTCTACCGTTCTAATAAAATGTTCAACCCCACCAAAATTTCGCTTCATCCCTCCTATTTTGTGTGAAAGGCTTTAACCCAAACGCATAACCCCTGTTGAAGCTCACTCAGTAGTTTTTGCTTGCACCCCACCAGAAATTTTTCTACCCCTCCTTTTAAATAAATGAAAATCCGCCCTTGCTGGTTACTGACAATTGTGCATAAACCTTTGCTGAAAATTCCATTTGCCAAAATTCCATCTAACAAAACTACCCTTTTCCAACAACTAAATATATCTTTTGAGTGCTTCTCGCCACAAAACATCTTCTAATAAAATTCAACTTAAAATTTTAAAGTCAAATAAACATGAAAAATATCAGCAAGACAATGGGCTAAATTTATTTTTGACAGTAAACTACTGTGAGAGGCCCATGAAATATCAGAGTATACTATACCTACATATAAAATAGGCAATGTTTGATGCATAACATCAGTGATTATAACCAATACAACTGTTTTCTCAGGAAATAGTTCATTGACATTTATACATGCAGTGTTATTTTATCCAAAATCTTGAGCATTGACCCCTATCTGGATAACATACTTACACAGTACAATTTTGTATTCTTGAATAGTGTTCAAAATTTCATCTGTGCAAAAGAAAACATGCACATTTTAAATTCAGTAAGCTGCATATGCACCCTAAAATACCAACTTATTATTTTACCAGTTTTTAATGCTTGAAAGTTGAAGTTTCCTTACAAAAAAGTTGAACTAGTGCCGTGATTTTGACAAGTTGCCATTAAAATGCCATTTGAAAACAGAGTTTCAAACATTTTTTTTCTGAATAGTTTTTCCTGTTTTTGCCTAGAACAACATTGTTTTTGAAAAACAAAATTTCCGGTCTATCAATTAACCACCTCACCCTAGATGCTGCACACTAGCAAAGAGAGACAACTGGGAGAAAGCTGTGATATACCTTTCATGTTTCATCATCTCCTTCGTCTTCATCCTCGTCAAAACCAAATTCAACATCATCTTGACACTCAACCGTGTCGTCAATTTTCACTGCAACAAATTAACAAGATACTCCATATATTATCTGAATTCAAAAACAGCCTTTTACATGTACAGTCAAACCAGATGTTCTCTTGCAAGCAACATTGCAATATTGTCCCACAATATTGCAATTTTGATAGGCAGATTGCTCCGAGCAATTTGCAACCGACACGAACAAATTGCAAGTTGAAATTCACAAAAGTTTTGTAAACAAAGCCTCTGATTGGACTATAAGAAAGAGGGAAGCACCAAGACAAGACACCATAAGACAAATGGTTATCGACAATTTTCAGAAAGTTTGGAATAGTTTGGAGCACTTTTTAATTTTTTAAAAAATTCCTATGTGGTCTCCCCTTTGCATTTTTGCAAAATTTTTCAAAACATGTTTTTATCAGTGAAAAGTAATTGTTTTGATGAAAGAAATGGTTTTAGATTACTTTCAGAAAGCTTGTGACCTGTGCCCC